CCTGGGAACTGCGGCGGCCCCAGAGCCCTCAGCGTGGAGTGTGAGGGGCCGAGGGACGCCGCGGCCGGCCGGGAGACAGTGAAGCGGCCCGAAGAGAGGTCTTCGGACCCGAGCGTCAGGGGAGCGGGAGGGGCTGGTGAGGGGACCCCAGGAAGAGACACGCCAGGGTAGGGGAGAGCCCGAGACGGGAGGAGAGGGGGGGGCCTCCGTGGAGGTGAAATTCAATATGGAGAGCAGACACCGCACTGTTGGACACTGTAGGGGAGAAGCGGGGTGAGGAGCTGGGGTGATCCAGGGGCGTAGCAGGGCAGCTCTAAAGTTACAGATGTTTTCCAAGGCAAGATGAGGTGAGATTTGGGGGGTGGGGTGGGGTGGGGGGCGGCGGTGGTCTCCTTGAAGCTTTCCTAGGCTCTTGGAAGCTCAGGGCCCTGTGAGACAAGTTACTTAGGTTTGCCAGGCCTGACGGAAGTAGTTGGTAGCGTGATCTGGGGCCGAGTGTGTGTCGGACCCGAGTCAGATAAAAGCTGGTGTTAGTTAGATGGGTGCAAACCGATTTTATTCCCTAACCAATCTTCAGATAATCTAGATTAGTCCAAACAGATTTCATCCCATAACTCCTGTTCCAAGAGTTGAGCTGTATTCTCATTTGCTCAGTGGTGGTGACTGGGCTGTTTTCAAAGGACCGGGTGTTAAGTATGGAGGGGGAAGGGAACCCTCCACAATTACAAAGGGTGACTCTTTGTAAATGCAAGTGGGTCAGCTGTGTCTGCTAGCTGGGATTTATCTGTTAGGCTACGGTCCTGCCCCAGGGATTGGGAGGCAGGCCTTGTCCCTATTAACATTTCAAAGGAATGGCTTTCTGGTCCTAAGAAAGAATTCCTGAGCTGCTGGTAGTACACGTGCATCTCTAAAGGATATTGGAAAGATTCACAATTGTAAACTCTTCTTAGTGAGTGCTTTTTAAAAGAGAAGCCAGTGAGTGTACCCCTGGGTTCCATCCCCCAGCACCCCAAGGAACAAGCAAAAGAGGTCAGTGTCATCAGATGTTGGCTAGAACACAGCCTTGATTGCCCAGAGCTTTTCAACAAAGTGGAGCTAGATTTTCCCAGGGACTTGGCCTTAGTCTGTTGGGGGCCCTGTTCAGTTTTAGTTAAGCCTCTTTGTACAGGGATTTGGAGAGTTTTTACAGTTCACACCAACACATTTCCCATAAATGGAAAAGCACTCCCCCCCCCCATTAGAGCTTAAACTTGGGGCCTGGGCCCTGTCTTTTTTTTCCCCCACAAGGCTGGCCCTCTACCACTCGTGTCAGCTCAACTTTAGCTTTTTGATGGTTATTGGATACATGAGTCTCACTGATTTTTCTGCCAGGTCAGGCTTGGAACAGCCACCCGCAGATCTCAGCCTCCTCATTAGCTAGGATTACAGGCTTAAACAACTGAAACCCAGGAAAAAGCTATTTTTGACCACTCAAATCTAAGAGACTTTAGAGTTCTTAAAAGTGCTACACTCTGCAAAGGTAGTAACAGATAAGGCTTTAAAGTAGTAATGGAAATTATTTTAGAAAATGGAAGGTGATCCAGCTGTAGAAGCTCTTGGTAAAACATTCAGACATAATTTCATAGTTTTAAATGTTTGTTGTGTTGCCATATTCTTCAGAGTAAAAAATAATAGGAGTCAGAATAGTACAGATTAATTTACATTCCTTTTTTTTCCAGAAGGACACCCATTAATACAACAGCCATAAAATAATGTATACATATATACATGACTATATGAGTGTGTGCATATATACACATACACATATGTATGTATGTATTTTGTAGGCTAATGCATAATTACACATTTCATCTTGGAGAAGTGACCAAGGAATCAAAAAGTAAATAACTCCTTAAAAGGTTTTTGTAGGGGTGGGAATGTGGCTTAGGAGTAGAGTGCTTGCATGCATGAAGTCCTAGGTTCAATTCCTCAGTACCACATAAACAGAAAAAGCCAGAAGTGACACTGTGGCTCAACTGATAGAATGCCAGCCTGGAGCAAAAGAAGCCCAAGGATAGTACCCAAGCCCTCAGTGCAAGCCCCCGGACTGGCAAAAAAATTTTTTTAAAGATTTTTGTAAGTAAATCCCATTAACTAAAAATATTTAATTAGAAATTATTGCAAACAAAAAATCTTCATTCAGCCTGGATTTCTAACCTTGTTCTGAGACTTAACAAAAAAATCTGAATATCTTTAATATCAAACTTTTTGCCTGTCACCAAGTATTCCTAAGTAAGCCTGTTGCTGTCAAGACTCCAATTGTATTTGGTTCCCACATCCAGATCACAGAAAGACTTAGAAACCTAAGTTCCGTATTTCTTCATGGAAAAATAACTTTTGGTCAGATGCAGCATTTGAGGGTGTTTTCCCCTTCCCCCTCAGTACCTTTGAATATAAGTGAAAGACTAAAACCTTTCTGTAGTATTTCAAGGTGTTAAGATGTAAACACTGAAAGAGGATCTTGACTATTAATAGGTTCTAGCTATATGGTGCTGAGTAAGTCCCAAATTTGCTGGACTTGAATTTGTCATGAGTTGTCAGTGGACTAGCCTCATGGTTTTATTCAAGAATTATACCCCTCCCCTGCCTGTCCCCAACACAATTGGCAGTATCTGAAGACATTTTTGTTTATAAATACTGGGCAGGAAGGGACATGGTGAGCAAGCATAGATACATCCCAGGGGTTTCATAAACATCCTAAAATGCTTTTGACAGCTCTACATATATAACATAAGATTGTCTTCCCCCAAACAGCAGTAATATTAAGGTTGAAGGCCTTGCACTAACCAGACTCAAGGTCTTGTATAGCTTTAGAGTTAGGGAATTGATGTAGCAGTTCACTACTGCTCTTTTCCAAGGTATGTGTGTGTACTTGAACAGTAATTCATAAGACATGTAACTTCAGCCTATAATGGCCACCAGACAATATTCAAAAAATAACGAAACTGCCACCAAGTTAAGGCTGAGGTTATTTACTAGAATTTGAAAAAGTTACTTGATTTACCTTTTGCTACTTCATTTTAGTCAATAACTTCATTAACAGTTAAGGTAACTGTCATGATAAATGGTAGATGATGGGTATATTACATTACTTTAAACACCATTAAGACAGTACATTTTCATTTTAGATAGTTATAAAAAGCCTTATTGCCAAGTATGTCAGATAAGAAGAATATGATACTTTAACCAGTGACATACCATGTTAGGGTATTCTTTGAAGAGTTATCAAAAACTTTTCATGCTGTTGCTGCAGTTCCATTCTCACGTTTACAGTCCTAGTAGGACTATTAGAATTGATTTCAGGCAGGAGACTGAGGCAGTTTGATCACAAGCTAGAAGTCCAGGACCAAAGTAAGCAATATAATGAGACATTTATCTCAAAAAAAAGTCTCACATCTATGGTCAGTCTCCCCTATCTCAAGAGAAGTTTAGAAAAAAAAAGCAAAAACTAACACTATGTAGTTAACCTTTTTACCTTGCTGACTAACTCAAATATAATTACATATATATTTAAATTATTCATTAAGGGCTGGGAATGTGGCTTAGTGGTAGAGTGCTTCCCTAGCCCTGGGTTCCCTATGCCTGGGTTAATTCTTCAGTGCCACATAAAGACAAAAAGCCAGAAGTAGCGCTGTGAACAAAGGAAGCTCAGGGACCATGCCCATACCCCGAGTTTAAGCCCAAGGACTGGCCAAAAAATAATTTATTAGCAGGGCTTTGCATTTGGTAAGGCAAGTGCTCTGCATGCTTCCAGTATATCTTTATAATAAATACATGTTTAGTTCAAAGTCTTTCCTGAAATATTTCTTGTTTATCATTATTTAGGACACTATTTTTAAGTGAACATTTTAAATCTATACCCTGAAATTAAGCTTCCTTTGAAGATACACAATATAATAGAGGGTTTTTTATGTGAAAGTAACTATTTCTGTGTGTCTGGGTACCGGGGCTTGAACTCAAAGCCCGGGAGCCGTTCCTTAGTTTTTTCATTCAAGGCTAGCACTGTAACTCTTTGGCCAAAGCTCTACTTCTGGTTATTTGCTAGTTAATTGGAGATAAGAGTCACATATTCCCCTGAGCTCGCTTAGAACCTTGATCCTCAGAGCTCAGCCTCCTGAGTACCCATCAAAGTCATGGGTTTTGTTTTTTGTTTTGTGAAAATTAACACAGACATGACAGCAAATGTTAAATGATCTTCCCTACTTACTTAACCTTACTTCCCAACTCCATTAAACTTTAGTGCATTACTTTTCCAAGGTACACATACAAGTGTAGTTATCAAACTGGACTTCCAAGGTATAGCAATACAGGCCATTGAGAGACTCAAACAGAGCATTTATCTGGTACATGAAGTTTTGTCTTCTCAGACCATATTTTCCCATATTAAATGTGTGTCTAACTCAGAAGAATTACAGAGTTCTGTGGCTTGAACTGAGGACCTGGCACTATCACTGAATTTTATGCTCAAGGCTATTGTGCTACCACTAGAGTTTTCTAAGTAAAAACTTAGATTGTCACTTCACATAGTAAATTATCAACCATCTTCACTTCAAACTTAAGAGATTTGTGTAGCTTATGTGACATTCATCAGGGACCTATGCCTCATAGGTTTGGGGCTTGTTTACTATCAGTAATCCTTAGCTAGGGATATCTTACTAAGGAAATTTTAGAGCTAAGTTCTCAGCAAATGCTATTAGGCTCGCCGTGGTACATATTGTCACCTACTTTCTTCCCTCACTTCTGTGAAAAGAAGTGAATAGACCATGGGCCAGCTATAGTAACTCCCCTGAGTTTAATAATATGTACACATTTAATTGTTGAGTCATTTTTCTAAAATTTTGATTAGTAGAGTTCTATTTCTTTATGAGAAAAGGTATATAAAATTACAGCTTTTTTTTTCTTTTGTTGGCCGTGGGGCTTAAACTCTGGGCTTGTGTGCTGTCCCTCAGCTCTTCAGCTCAAGGCAAGTGCTCTACAGCACCACTTCTGGTTTTCTGGTGGTTTATTGGGGATAAGAGTCTCATGGGCTTTCTGGCCAGGGCTGGCTTTGAACCGTGATCCTCAGATCTCAGCCTCCTGAGTATCTAGGATTACAGGCGTGAGCCACCAGTGCCTTGCTAAAATTACAGTTTTGATGTTACATTGGCATCTATATTAATCCTTTTGTAACTATATCACAACTGGAGAATTTGTAGAAATTTCGCAAAGGCTGGGGCATTTTATAGCAAGGTGGCATCTAGTAAGGGCCTTGTTTTTGTTTGGAGAGCTTAGTGAAAGCCTTATATTCCATGGCAGAAAGAGAGGGAAGGGAGAGGAGAGAGCTCAAACTCCCAGCCTTCAGCTCTCGTAATTGACATTAATCCACACATTAAGGTGATGCCTCATTACCTAAACAACTCCCATTAGACACTATGCCCCACCACTTACATTGGGGATAAAGTTTCCAACAGTTTGTGGGGCACATAATTCAAACCATAATAGCATCTTATTTGGTTTTTTTTTTTTGGGGGGGGGTCCAGTTGTGAGGCCTGTACTCTGGGCCTGGGCGCTGTCCCTCAGCTCTTCAGCTCAAGGCTAGCGCTCTACCACTTGAGCCACAGCACCACTTCTGGCTTTTTCTTTTTGCTTATGTGGTGTTGAGGAATCGAACCCAAGGCCTCAGGCATGCAAGGCAAGCGCTCTACCACTGAGCCACCTTCCCAGCCCCATAGCATCTTATTTGTAAACGGAAAACCATGTATGAAATAAAAATTGGGGGAAGGTGTAAGTCGTGGGGATTAACCTCAAAGCCTGGGCACTATCCCTGAGCTTTTTTTACTTAAGGGTAGCACTCTTACCACTTTTGAACTACAACACCACATCCTAAGATAAACGTTAGCTGTTAGGAAGTGTAGACTTCAAGTGTAAATATAACACATTACTATGAGAAACCCTTTAGCAGAAGCTAGAATTCAATATCTAATTATGACTAGCTTTAGCTGGGCACTGGTGGCTCAGGCTGAGATCTGAGGATTGCAGTTCAAAGTCAGCCCAGGCAGCAAAATCCATGACTCTTATCTCCAATAAACTACTCAGAAAAAGCTGGAAGTGGCACTGTGGCTCAAGTGGTAGAGCACGAGCCTTGAGGACAAAGAAGCTCAAGGACAGTGCCCAGGCCCAGAGGTCAAATCCTAGGACTGACTATATATTAATATGTGTATGACTAGCTTTGAGCAATTTATATGAGTTTTGTTTAGTGAAATTTCTGGGGTCAAACATTTGTACCAACTGAGAGAAGATTACCTACTATAGGTAAAAGTGGTTTGTGGTTCCTCTCTGTGATTTTCAGACAACAGTAATGTATTAGATTGGTTCCAAGCCCCCTCTTCAAGTTCCAGACCCTACAGTTATCAAGTCCTTCTTTTAAAGTAGTTGCATATAATCCATTCACATTGTCTCATACAGTTTAAATTACCTCTAGATTACTTAAAATAACACATTCCATGAATAATTGTTACATGGCATTACTTAGAGGGAAGTGACAGAAAAAAGATATGTGTTCAGTCCAGGCATGATTTTTTAAAGTATTTTCTTTCTGTAATTGGTTGAATCCAGGCATGTGGAACCCACATAGGGCTTACTGTGGCTAAAATCATATGTCATATGGACTGCATTTCTTCATATTATTCACAAAAAGATTGGATTTCTTGGCCCATCCTACAGTATTGTACCCAGATCATTTCTGTAGAATCCAGTCTTCTATTGGTATCCCAATAACTTCCTTCAGTGGTATATTTTGGACCAAATAAAAGCTACAACCAGCCATGGTAATACACACTTGCAATCCCAGCTACTTGGGAGTCTGAAACAAGAAAACTTAAAGTAACTTGGTGAAATGCTATCTCAAAATTTTAAAAAGGACTAAGCATATATTTTAGTAATGGAACACAAGGCACTCTATAAATTCCATCCTCAGAGCTACAGAAGAAAAAAATGTTAGTTATTAGAAGCTTCTAAATATTTTCAGATTTCCATTCTGAGCAGAAAGCTATTACTGTAGAGCCTTGTAATATAGCACTTGGAAATTAAGCTTTGAGATAATATGTGCAATGATAATAACAACTTAGTATTGAGGATATTACCTTAAATGCTTAATATGATCATCTGTCTTCCCTTTATTTTCCTCCATAGATACCATATTGAGTAAACAAAGACTGAGCTTTGTATCGAAGGCATCTGTGGAGTAGTGCTACAGTTTGAATAGTAAAAGATTTCACATTATGAGGTAGGTTGAAATAGAATGTGTCCTACAGAAGCTTGTAAACGTAGCAGGTAAACTTATACAGGTCATGTTATTTAATCCTTAAAAGAGCCCCCCAAAGAGGATGGTATTGTCCTTTTGATAGACGAAGAGACTAGATCAGAGAAAAATAACTTGACTTACCTTTGGATTTAAACTTAAGTCTTTGTAGCTCTTAGTTCATTTTGTTTTCCCCACACGTTTTACTATACCCAGAAAGCCCCTGTGTCTATCCTTGGTTGTTGTAGTAAATATAACATAGATGAAATAAAGCTTGAACAGGAAACAGTAAGAATCAAGAGATAAACACTGAGACATCTTTGCAGGAGTTGAACACAATACATAGAAATATTACTCTTAGGGCTGGGAAGGTGGCTCAGTGGTAGAGTACTTGCCTTGAGCTGAACAGCTGAGGGACAGCGCCTAGGCCCAGAGTTCAGGCCTCATGACCGGACCCAAAAAAAAGAAAAAAAGAAATATTACTCTTAGCTCTTTTAGTTTTTAAGGCTTAAGTCTTGTGATAAGTCTTGGACATTGTCACCCCTTCTTTATCTCCTGTCCCTTCCAACAAGTTGCATAGTGTATATTGCATACTATGACTACATTTTTTCACCCTTCATTTCTGTGCCCTCCTTTTTGTCTTCTTAAAAATATAAAATAAGGGCTGGGAAGTTGGCTCACTGGTAGAGTGCTTGCTTCGCATGCATGAGGCCCTGTGTTCAACTCCTCAGCACCACATAAGCAGAAAAAAGCCAAAAGTGACACTGTGGTAGGGCGCTAGCCTTGAGCCGAAGAGCTAAGGGACAGCACCTAGGCCCAAAAAGTAAGTGTGTGTGTGTGTGTGTGTGTGTGTGTGTGTGTGTGTAAAATAAAGCCAGGCACTGCACTGCTGGCTCATGCCTATAATCCTAGCTACTCAGGAGGCTGAGATCTGAGCATCATGGTTCAAAGCCAGCCCAGGCATAGTCCATGAAACTTTTTTTTTTTTTTGTCTGTCATGGGGCTTGAACTCTGGGCTTGGACGCTGTCCCTGCGCTCTTCAGCTCAAGGTGAGCGCTCCACCACTTGAGCCACAGCGCCACTTCCGGTTTTCTAGGGCTTATTGGAGATAAAGAGTCTCACGGGCTTTCCTGCCCGGGCTGGCTTTGAACCAAGATCCTCAAATCTCAGCCTCCTGAGTAGCTAGGATTACAGGCATGAGCCACTGGCACCCAGCCTTCCATGAGACTCTTATTATAACCACCAGAACAAGAAGTAGCTCTGTGGGTCTAGAGGTAGAGCACTCACCTTGAGCTTAAAAGCACAGGTACAGTGTCCAAGGTTAAGATTCAAGCCCCACAAATAATCAGAAACAACACCAACAAAAAAAATTAACTCAGGCCGAGGAGAAAAAAGATGATAAATTCAGATGGCATTAAAAAAAAGTATTAGAGAATTACAGAAAGCAAAATGTCGGCTGTTATCTAAAATCATAGTGTAAATGAAATGTGATTCCCCATGCAGTGTTCTTACCCTTTATATGGTATGGCTTTTCATTTCATATCTTTCCCATATACTGGTATCCTGAGAAAGAATTACCTTTTGAACCCTGCTAACTGTCTACACTACCTTAGACTTTCCTGCTCTGCACTCTTAAATGCTCTGAGACCAGAGCTATTGGGTCTCTAACTCTGGTATTTCTAACTCTGGTACTTAGGATATCAGAAGTAGTAGATACATTAAATGAAACATAAAGCCATCTGTGCTGTTTTTTTTTTTTTTTGGTGTGTGTGTGTCTGTGTCTGTCTCTGTCTGTCTGTCTTTGTCTGTCCATGCACACCAGTCCTGGGGCTTGAACTCATGGCCTGGGTGCTGTTCCTGGGCTTTTTTGCTCAAGGATAGCATTCTACCACTTGAACCACAGCTCTGCTTCCAGCTATTTGTGATTAATTGGAGATGAGAGTTTCCCACTTTCCTGCCTGGGCTGGCTTTAAACCATGATCCTCGGATCTCAGCCTCCTGAATAGCTAGGATTACATGCATGAGCTACTGGCACCCAGCCCAGCTATCCTGTTCTAAAGAGCTTGTCTAGTTTTACCCATTTGTTAATCTTGACAGAAACTGAATTTTAGTTCAAATATGTATGATATTAACATAATTACAATCAGATATTGGCCTTTGATTAAGTGGATTCAAGTGTCAGCTCAACCATTAATTGCTGAACAAGTCACTTGTACCTCTCTCTTTTTTTCAGCCCAAGATTAGTGAGAATTGATGTTCATAGGTTTCTGTGATACTTAAGTTCCACTGAAATTTTTTTAAATAGCTTTTATGCAATTATAAAGCTTTTATGCAATTATAAATCCATGGCTGGGAATGTGGCTTAGTGGTAGAGTGCTTGCCTAGCATGCATGAAGCCCTGGGTTCAATTCCTCAGTACCACATAAATAGAAAAAGCTGGGAATGGTGCTGTGGCTCAAGTGGTAGAGAACTAGCCTTGATGAGTACAGAGAAGCTAAAGAACAAAGTCAATATCAGTATAGGAAATTACATACAAATACAAGAAAAAGTATTATAATTGTGCTCAGAAAATGTTTCTCCCTTTTTCCTATAGGACATTTTAGTTATTCCTGTGTTGTCAATTAAATTCATTCAGACATTATTCTTTGTTAGGTCTTAAACCCATTGAGGTTTATTCATTTTCTTACTTGCAATACGTTTGGAGATAAACAGCGCCAAGGCTGTTGTGACAGCTCTACAATGTCATCAGAAAGGGCCAGGCATCTTCTAACTTACTGCTGAAGCAATGGCTTGCTTCTTGTTCCCTGATGAATGAATGGACTACAATCATGGGCTCTCATTCTCGCAGCAGGAGTAGGAGCCCTCTTGGTATCCTATGTAGTTTTCTTACTTAACCGGAAGTTATTCACATAGCCATATAGTAATGCTTTAAGGATAGTCAGAAAATGTAGTCTTTTAACTGGATATTGCATAAGGTATTTTACCAAAGAAGAAAAACAGTATGTTGGAAGATGGTAGTTTCTATCACAAATAGGAACATAAAAATTATTGGCTTTTAAAGCAAGCTTTCGGCCCTTGTAGTTCCAATAACTCTGGAGGCTGATGCAGATAATTGTTTGAGCCTTAGATGTTCAGGCCAATCAGAACAATGTAGTGAAACCTCCCATCTCTTAAAAAAACAAAAAAGCCAGTCCCGATGGCTCAGGCTTGCAAACCCAGCTACTCAGGCATCCAAGATTTGAGGAATTGTCATTTGCCGCTACCCCCAAGGAAAGAATTAGTGACAGTCTTTGTCAACAAATGAGCTAGCATGGTGGTGCACATCTGAGGGCCCAACTACATGACAGGCCATAGGTAGGAGGCTCACAAAAAAAAAAAATTGAGACCCTGTCTGAAAATAAGTGAAACAAAAATGGCTAGGGGCCTATCTCAAATATGAGACTGCTTACCTAACAAGTGTAAGACCTTTAGTTTAAACCCTAGTACCACCAAAAGAAAAAGAAAAGTTAGGTTTCTTGGTTGTAGTATTTCTACTGAAGCTAGTGCTCAAAAGAGAACAAAACTATGCTTAGTTCAGACCAAACATTGAAATTCATGAATTCTGTTTTTTGATTTTCAAATAAAACATACCTATTTTAACTATAAATAAGGATAGAAAAATACTCAATTGTTAGGCTCAAAAAGTATTTGTTTTTGAATTTATAGGAAGCAAAATGAAAATGAAGCTGGGTTTTGTGAATATTGAGGTGACTGCCCTGTGTTGATTGTGTAGTTATAAAATTAGAATTACTTCATCTTTTTAACAAGGTTATGCTTGGTTTCAGGTGAATAGAGTAATGGACAAAAATAGATGTAATCTCTACATCATGATGTTTTAGCTCCCTGGTTGTTGCACAGGCTCACTGTTTACACAGTGTCCATGTAGAAAAACTGAAGCAATTAATGGGTGAATATGATCAGATTTCTCCACCACGCTGTTGGCCTGATAAGGGTAAGGTTTCATTCACCTTTTCATATCTGTGCCAGCTGTGGTCTTTTGGGATTGGCATCTTTCATCTAGCATAATGTCTTCAAGGTTTGTCCATGTTATGCTAAATATCAGTACTCTATTCCTGAATAGTATCCCATTGCATGAATATGACTTTTTGTTTGCCAGTTATCAATGAATAGGCATTGCGATTGTTTTCACTTTTTATCTTTGATAGTACTTTTTTCATTGTGTTTTTATTCCACCATTTGGCTTATCAGTTCATCTACTGATTGGCATTTCAGTCTTCTTTGGGGGGGCATTACAAATAAAATTAATGTGAATGTGAATGTTTTGGGGAGTAAAACCCTAGGCATAGATAACTGGATCATTTGGAAAATGTATATGAAAACTAAAGTGTTGTACCATTTTACACTCCCACCAATAATATATGAGAGTTGCAGGTACCCCACCTCCTCACTAAGTATTATCAGTCTTTTTTAATTTTATTCATCCAGGGAGTCTGCAGTGTGTCTTTAATTGACATTTGCTTGATAACTAAAAGTCTTCAACATCTTTTAATTTTGTTTTTTTGGACATTTGTGTGTGTGTGTGTGTGTGTGTGTAGTAGTAGTAGTAGTAGTAGTAATAGTAGTCTTGAATTCAGGGCAGAATACTGTCTCTTAGCTTTTTCACTCAAGGTTGGTACTCTACTACTTGAGCCTCCACTTGGGTTTTTTGCTAGTTAGTTGGGAGATGAGAGTCTCGGGAATTTTCCTGCCCAGGCTGACTTCAAACTGTGATTCTTGGATTTCAGCCTCCTGAGAAATTAGGATTATAGACATGTTATCACAGCACCCAGCTCTTTTCTGAAGTATTTGTTAAAATATTTAGCCCAAATTTTAATCAAGTGTTTGTAATACTATTTGTTATTATCCCAATTGTAGTTTTTATGCTATTTAAGTTGAATAGGGGATAATTTTTCTAACTCATCAAATTAGGCTTCATTTAGACTTTTCATCTCAAATTTACAGAAACATAACTGATCATTAATGACTTTAGAGTGTTTTTTCAGGCTTGTTAACACTATTAAACAGAAGCAATACTCAGTCCTATTTGGGTTTTGCTGAGTTTTGGAGATAAAACATATCACCAGAGGGCTGGGAAGGTGGCTCAGTGGTAGAGCGCTTGTCTTGCATGCATGAGGCCTTGGGTTCGATTCCTCAGCACCACATAAGCAAAAGGAAAAAAGCCAGAAGTGGCGTTGTGGCTCAAGTGGTAGAGCGCTAGCCTTGAGCTGAAGAGCTGAGGGACAGCACCCAGGCCTAGAGTTCAGGCCCCACGACCGGACCCCCCCCCAAAAAAAAAAACATATCACCAGAATTGTTCAGGACATTATCTGGTAATAAGTATAATTTTTACTCTATTTTTACTTATTTAGGATTTGATGTAGGGGAAAGGGAATCAGGCATAGTGCTGCCTTCCACCCCTAAATGAAACAATCTGTTGTATGTGTACTCTTGAGTTTCTTTTCTGTTTCTGTTACATTCATCCATTTTCTTCTCTATTTCCTCCTTTAACCCTCTCACTGTACTTTGACAGAGCAAAGCAGAAACATTCTAGAATGCTTTTTCACCTATCATAAGTAATGGAATGAAGTCCAGGTGCTCTGTTCTCTCATCTTCCCTTGTCCCCTAAATCTGAGTATAGTTTCTATCCTGTAGCTGAATCTCACAGTTTTAGCATCCCAAAGCATTTTACAAACATCTTTTCATTATTAAGGCTTAACAGTACTGTAGTCAGGTAAGTATGATTAGTTTGTTTGAGTAAAGTGAAGATTTTAAATATCAAGTTACTTTGCCATGGTTCTGTTACTTCTCTTAGAAAACAATGTACAGGAAACTGGTTTATGAGAACTTCAAAAATTATCTAAACACTCAGAACCAGACACAGATGTGTGATTCTTACTCACCAGTGCTGCGTATCTTACATGACAAGCATCCTCTGTGTTAGTTCCTTTGTACATGTTTTTCCCTACTTCGGAAGGGTAAAGTTAATTAAGGGTGGCCTGGGAAATGTTTGACCATCCCCATGCTACCTTATGGAATATATTATAATAACAAACTTTATGCTGACATAGGTTTTAATTTGTTTAATATGTTTTTGAAGCTCTTGTTTGGAGCAAAGGAATTACTCAGAACAAAGTAATTTAGTAACTTCTCCCATCTTCTCTACAGAGAATCCCTTTTTGTCAACCTAATGAAGCATTCAATGAAGTCTTCTGACTCTTTTCAAGATGAACTTGAAGATTATATTAAAGTACAGAAAGCCAGAGGTTTAGAGCCAAAGACTTGTTTCAGAAAGATGAGAGAGGACTATTTGGAAACCTGTGGGTACAGAGAAGAAGTCGAGTCCAGGCACAGGTACAGAATGTTTGATCAGAGATTCCCATCTGGAACTATGCAGTCCTATCCAAGATCATGCAATACTTCACAGAAAGTGGAAAACCAGTTACCTCAGTGGTTGCCAGCTCAGGACGGCAGACTGAGACTAGATTCTCTGAGCTACTGTCAATTCACCAGGGACTGTTTCTCAGAAAACCCAGTATCCCTGAACCTTAGTCAGCAAGAATATAATTGTGGTCTATACAATGTAGAATCTGGAGTTCCCCAACACCTCTCCTTAGGACATAATACTAGTGCCCCTCAATCCAGTCATAAACAAATACATCACAACAGAAAAAGGCACCCAGAGGAAGGCAGAGAAAAACCAGAGGAAGAACGGCCTAAGCATAAGAGGAAAAGAAGTTCTGAGGAATTGGATTTAGACAAAAACAAAAGCATCCAAAGAAAGAAATCAAAAGTGGAAACAGAAACTGGACAGGTCAGTACAGAAAAGCTTAAGAATCGAAAGGAGAAAAAGAGCCGAGATGTAGCCTCTAAGAAAGAGGACCGTAAGCGTAGAAAAGAGAAAAAGGAACAAGGCAAAGAAAGGACAGAGGAGGAAATGTTGTGGGACCAGTCTATCCTTGGATTTTGAAAGCTCTCTGGTTCTCCTGAGGTTTAATTGAAAAGAGTTGAGAGCTTGGTTCTATGATACTCATATCACATCTTATTTGAACACATTCTTGTAACTAAGGCCAAGTGAACAAGAAACATTTAGTATGCTTGGTTTCCAACATGGAAATTACTTTTCCTCATTTTCCAAAAGCATTTTAATGGTTTTCTTACATGCAATGTTCCTTTTTGAGTGTGGCTCTGCTTGTATTCATCAAATTGCTGTGATGGTGGAATTATTTTCCCTGATAGATGATTTATTTAAAATTGGAGGATTAATAGACTGCAAAATGTTTCTTGGTTGGGTTTGTTTTCATTTTGAATTGGACATTTTTATGTTCATTGGTTTTCTCTATGAGGCAAATTAGATTTTTTTTTCTTTGTTAGATCTAATTTGCAGTGTATTTTGTAGACTGGAAAGTGAGAAATGAAATATATAATAAAAAATAAGCTTATCTTGCATAGAGTTTTAAAAGTTTAAAAGTATCCTCATACAAAATCAGTTTATATTCTGGAAATGTTTATAATAAAGTGTTCTAATTTCTGCATATTATTTTGTGTCAGTAATCTGTTCCTACTACCAATAGTTTACTTTTGGAAGAGAACGATAACTGGGCATTTATACTCTAGTGTCAAGATCTTTTGAGTTGGTTACACTTTAAATTTGTTAAAATTTCCTTGTCTAAGCTAGGTACCAGTGGCTCATGCCTGTAATCCTAGCTACTCAGGAGACGGAGATCTGAGGATCATGGTTCAAAGCTAGCCAAGGCAGAAAAACCCATGACACTCCTATCTCCAATTAGCCACCAGAAAACCAGAAGTGGCACTGTGGCTCAAAGTGGTAGAGCACTAACCTTGACTGCAAAAAGCTCCAGGATAGCTCCCAGTCCCTGAGTTTAAGTTCCAGGATGTACCCCTCCCCCCCCAAAAATATATATCTATATGAGACTTACTCATATTTGAATGCAGTTTTTTTAATTGTAAAGGTGATGTCAGAGTGGTTCAGTTACATAATTCAGGTAATGAATAGATTTCTTTTCAGTATTACCTCTTCCCTTATTTTCTCCTAGTTTTTCCTTCCCTCGGAAGTTGTATAGTTCATTTTCAATATAATATCTAGTGAGCATCACTGCTGCATTTGTTTGCCCTTTGTCCCACCATTTCTGTGCTCCCCCTTATCCTCCCCAAAACAGATACATTTACATACGAGACAAAAGGTACAAAAATCAAAAACAGTGACCAAGGAGAAAAGGGGCGGGGGGAGTAAAATAAACTCTTGTTTCCATTTCTTGGATTTCATTTCAGTAAACATTTTATATGATCATATGCCCATAGCTATTGAACCTTTGTAATCCTCTCCTAAGAATATACTCCTTTGGTCTTGCTGTGTGAGTCTAGAATCCTATTTAACATGTCCAAGTGTTTTTTTGTCTTCTTTATCAGCTAATGTGTTTACTTGTAGATTCATAGGGACTTTCTAGTTATAACAAATGAGGGAAACCATGCAACCTATGTTTCTTGGGATCTGACTTACTTCACTTATTAATTATGAATGGGAAATATTCTTTCTGATAAAGCATAGGATTCCATTGCGTATATATACCATATTTTCTTGATCCATTTGTCTGCTGAGGGGCATCTGGGTTGATTCCGTATCTTGGCTGTGGTAAACAATGCTGAATGCAATTTTTTAAGAGAATTATGGCTGACCAAAAAGTTGAAAGTAATTTATAAGAAATACAATTTCATTACATTGTTGTATCATGGCAATGCTGTAAGAATATTCAACAAGATACCAAGATTCTGTGATCAAGTCAGCAGTTACCAGCACAGAACATTAATTTGTACTGAATATATGTGACTAGGTCATTTTTTAATATTTAATAAAGTCATAGAAATTGATGGGAATACTGTAAGTATGTGATACTGATGGGAATCTTGAGTAAGCCACATAACTTAAAAAACTTCAGGACAAATTTTTTGCCCTAAAATGTGACAGGGGCTCTGTTCTCCAACTCCATTCAATGTTCAAACATTAAGGTATGTAAAGCTGGTTGAAACTGCGTCTTCTTTTGGTACTTGTTTGAGTCACATTTTTACCAGTAAGACCCTTCAAAAGAGCAGAAACTAAATCAAATGGAATATATGACAAGGCAAATTCTGGCTATACTTGGGGGAAAAATGTAAAAGCCAGGATTTCGAGGTATGGCTCAAGTGGTAGAGAGCCAACCTTGAGCAAAAAAGCAGAGTGCAAGACCCTGAGTTCAAGCCCCAGAACTGAAAGGAAAGAATAGAAAAGCCTGGAGCTTGAAAAAGTGAAATTGACTGGCCTAAGTATAAACAAACTGAGAGCATTGTGCTTACACCATTTCAGGAAGGAACTGGGAAAAAAAAGAAACTTAAACAGTCCAGGTAGTTTACTTATCAGTAGATGAAGCCCACCAATCAAAGGACAATCTTAGCTCAGCACAGAGCACCTGCTTAGAAAACCATAAGACCTAGTATGCCAAAAAGAGAAAGGGTAGGGTGGGAATGTGGCTTAGTGGTAGAGTGTTTGCCTAGCATACATAAAACCCTGGGTTCAATCCCACAGTACCATATAAACAGAAAAGGCCAGACATGGTGCTGTGGCTCAAGTGGTAGAGTGCTAGCCTTGAGCAAAAAGAAGCTCAGGGACAATGCCCAGGCCCTGAGTTCATCAAGCCCCAGGACTGGCAAAAAATAAAAAAGATAAAAGGTAATCTCAAACTACAGTGAGAAGTACCACAATGGCAGTGGCAAAGAATGAGGCATGCGGTGCAATTGATTCATAGGAACCTTTGGGGAAAAGCTCCAAGTGAACAGGAATGAGAGGTATATTTCTAGTAGAGAAACCACTAGATGGAAAAGCCCCCTAAGTAAGAAAACAGTACCCATTTGGCAGAAAGAAAGTCTTATAAGCTATGTTAATGCAATCTGATTTATCCTTGGGACAGTAAGAAGCCATTTCAGAATATGAAAAAAAAACAAAACAAAAGGATGCCAATGTCATACATACATAAGGAAAAGATAAGAACTTGTTCTTTTCAGATACAAAGTTGTCTAATGAAATGAGTAAGACATGGTTGTAGGTATAAGGACATGAATACAAAAGCCACTGTAGAGCCATGAACAAATGGACATGTATTTAATAGGCATTTCAGAGCAGTATGAAAGGCAGATATTTCAATTGGGTGTGGGTGTGGGCACATGTGCATGCCAGTTCTGCAGCTTGAATTCAGGGTTCCATGCTACCCCTTGGCTTTCCCACTCAAGGCTGGTGCTCTACCATTTGAGCCACAACTCATTTCCATAGGCAGACGTTTCAGCATTTGGCATTGGAGAAGAATGGTAACTGGGAAAACATGCACAACACCCTCCTCAACTGGCACAAAATAAATTCCAGGTGAATCATATACCTGTGAAGCTTTTGTAAAGCATGTAAGTTTATGCTTAGGATCTAAGTCACTTTTTTTGTTTTGTTTTGTTTTTGTTGTTGTTTTTTGTCAGTCATGGGGCTCTGAGCCTGGACACTGTCCCTCAGCTCTTCAGCTCAGGGCTAGCACCCTACCACTTGAGCACAGCACCACTTCTGGCTTTTTCTGCTTATGTGGTGCTGAGGAATCAAACACAGGGCATCATGCATGCAAGGCACGCACTCTACCATTGAGCCACCTTCCCAGCCCCTAAGTCACTGTTTTTTGTTTGTGTTTTGTTGATGCTGATTGAACCCAGGGCCTTGAGCAAAAAGAAGCACAAGCTCTAACATTGAACTGTACCCTAGCTCCTATGGAAATAAGTTACTAAACAGGGTCAATATTGCTTCCCAGGGGGACACTGGGTAATACGTGGAGACATTTTTGGTTATCACAACTGACAGAATGGGATCACGACTGTCACCTAAAATATAAAGCTAAGGGTAAAGCTGCTAGGCATCAGTAACTCATACCTGTAATCCTAGCTACTCAGGAGCTGAGATCTGTGGATCACAATTCAAAGCCAGCTCTGCCAGGAAAGTCTGTGAGACTGTCATCTCCAATTAACTACTAAAAAGTCAGAAATGGCTCTGTGGCTCAAAGTGGTAAAGCACTAACCTTAAAGCAAAAACAAGCTCAGAGCTGGGCACTGATGGCTCAGGCCTGTAATCCTAGCTACTCAGGAGGCTGAGATCTGAGGATCAAGGTTCGAAGCCAGCTCTGGCAGAAAAGCCCCCAGGAGACTCTTATCTACAATTAACTACTTAAAAAACAAATAACTACTTAAAAACAAATGGAGCTGTGACTCAAACTGGTAGAGTGCTAGCCTTGAGCAAGGAACTCAGAGACAGTGTCCAGGCCCCCAGTTCAAGCCTCAGGACTGGTTAAAATTTAAAAAAAGGTTGGGGGGTGGGGGCTGGGAATGTGGTTTAGTGGTAGAGTGCTTGCCTAGCATGCATGAAGCCGTGGGTTTGATTTTGATTCCTCAGTACCACATACACTAAAAAAGCCAGGAGTAGAGTTGTAGCTCAAGTGATAGAGTGCTAGCGTTGAGCAAAAGAAGCTCAGGAACAGTGCCCAGGCCCTAAGTTCACGCCCCAAGACTAGAAAAAAAAAGAAAGGAAGAAAAAATTGGAGAAGTCACTCATCATCTGAGGGGAGCAATTTGTTTCCTTGAGATGATTAATCCTGTTCCAGGGTGCAGCTTGTCTTGAACTGAAAAGCTGATGGTCTGTGATGTTCTGTTCCTTTTGGGGGGATAGTTTAAGTCCCTCATCATAAAGATGTTATCAGGTCAGTGACTGTTGGTTCACACTTGTAATCCTAGCTACTCAAGAGGCTGAGATCTAAGGATCACAGTTCAAAGCCAGCCCAGGCAGGAAAGTCTATGAAATTCAACTCCAACTAACCAGCAAAAAGGCAGAAGTGGAGCTGTGGCTTAGGTGGTAGAGTGCTAGTCTTGAGCATAAACGCTGTCATTTCACATGGGCCCAGGCCTGAGAGTACCAAGACTAAAGCTCACCAATGACTTGCTTCCTAGGGAACCCTTCCAGCACCTTACTTGATATTTTGATTTCCTCCCCAACGATTAGAAGCATTTTAGGATATGCAGACTAAGGGCCTTTGAAGGAGAATACATCTGCCTAACTGGCCCAAAAGTGTTCTAACTTTCAGCTTTCCCCAAGATATGCATACATAAAGCCTCCAAAGAGAACATCCCGTTGTTCACAGTATGTCCTTAACCTTCCTGGCAGGAAAAAGGCCGGGAGCATCCCCAATGTACTCCCAACGTGTCAGGTTAGATGCTTAGAGGGAACAGCTGGCGTCAGTGAGTATCCACTACTTGGATAGCATCCCATCTCTGTCAGATTCCAATATTAGAAGACCTGGTAAAGAAGCTAACTCATGTACCTGGACTAGGAGGAAATTTTTGGCATTTTTACATGTCTCCATTACTCTTTTATTGCTTTTATCTATTCTTTTACTTATTTTTTAAGTAATTTTTATGGAGATTAAGTGATTATACAAATTTCACAGTATTGTGGGATAGTGATAGTTA